ATGTTAAGTACAAGACATGAGAAATATGAGGCACCCGCATAACGGAGGCCTGGTGCTGAATTTCTGCTTCCCCCCCCCCAACACCGACTAATACCAGCCCTGAAGGAAGGAGGAAAACCACAATGCCTCCCACTCGCATCCCACAGAACTGGGGGGGCGCGGGGTGTCACTGTGCATACCACGGAGACTTACTCCAAGCATAAATACTGTAGCAGCATTTTAAACAGAGCCCATTTCCCGTCAGTCATTTTTGCTTAATCCCCCGGGCTGAGCAAGTTTTATGGAAGTCGGATTTTTTTAGGTCCCCTTTGCAGAACGGCGAAAAGTCTTTGGGCTGTCCTTGTGCTTCAGAGGGAAGCTGTCGGATGGAAGCGCCTTGTAGCTTCCTTGCAGCTGAGGTCCGAAAGCAAGAGAGCGGAAACGGTAAGGCTTTGCAAAGGAGAAGAAGCAGAGCCTTCTCTTTCTTTGGTCTTGAAGGGATTAATCCACTGAAGCTATTGTTGCAGGATGGAATGCTGCTTTTATATATGACAATTGCAGCGAGATGATTTTTCTGCTCAAAAAATGGAAAGCCCAGGCTGTTCACCTCGGAGGAATGCTGGGGAAGACGATGGAACTTATGGAGATGTCTAAATTAATTTCTTTGATAAGAAGAAAAAAAAATGCATTTATGATCAACTGGAAATCCTTTTTACATTTTTTTGCACAAAACAGAATTAAATGCATTAACGAGGTGTGGTTTTGATGATTGGGGGGGGAAATGGATAATAGACAAGACTGAGCTTTTTTTGTAATCATAGTAGCAGATAAACCTTGCCATTGTACTTATATTTGCTGCAAAGAAAATCGGAAGCGTCTTCTTTGAATTTCTCTTTATTCTTTCTTTCTGCACTTTTGCTTTTCTTTCTTTCTTTCTTTCTTTCTTTCTTTCTTTCTTTCTTTCTTTTCTGATTTTACTCATTACACGTAGCCTTTGACTTAGGACCATGTGGGAGCAGAATTTCTGCTGCTAAGCAAGGGGGGTGGTTAACTCACTTGTCCTCGATTTTACAGCCTTCTCTGCCATGGTTAACAATAACAACAATAACAACTTTATTATCACTTTGAATGTACATCAATCGGCATACACCAGAATGAAATTTCGTTGTATACAGCTCCCAAAGGGCCACCACCTCCGATATACACTCCTTGTTCGTGGCTTCCAGCTAAAGTTTCAGATCGTCCATTTTAATCTCTAGGGCGAGGCTTTTCAGCCAGTGGTACGGGTACCACCTGTGGTATATTGGCACCTGGCAGGTGGTACGTGACCATCCTAGAAAAGTGGTAGTGGGGGAGGAGAATGAGCTGAACCGGTGGCAGCACCGCACAAGCCTGAGTAAGATATGGCTGGAGCTGCAGGGCTGTCAGGGCTTAGCGGAAGCACCAGGATCAGCGCTTCTTTGGGACTGTCAGGGCTAGTGGAAACACCAGGATTAGCACCAGGCTCCAGGTGGAGCTCAGCGCTGATCCTGGCGCTTCTGCTGAGCCCAAAAGACACGCCGATCAGCTGGAATGTTGCAGCATCTCCAGGGTCTTGTGATTTACATTCAGATGCTTGGCAACTGATTCATATTTATGACGATCACAGTGTCCCAGGGTCATGTGAAGTGACCAAAACCTGCTGCAACCACCCAGCAGATGGGGGGGGAAATAAAAACCAAACATCCCCACACCACCCCCGCTGCCAATCCTCAACAGAAATGCTCACAACAATGAAAACCTCAGACAGGAGGAAGAGCGCTGCCAGGCGGGCAGGCAGGTGTCTTGTTCGGCTGTGGCTTGGGGGGCCCTTTTTTCAGTGCCATTTTAACTTTGAACAGTCACCAAGCTAACTGTTGTAAGTCGAGGACTACCTGTACTTCATCACTTTTTTCCTTTTTTGACACCTTTTTGACACCTTGCTAGGCGATTGGTGGTACTTGGATTTTGCCATATCCTAAAAGTGGTACAATGGGTGAAAAGGTTGAAAAGCCCTGCTCTAGGGAGCGAACGATGGCAAACAGGACAGATGGAAACAGAGCTCCGTGTGGATTAGCCCTCAAATTAGATTGTATTCCTCCATGACAATCTCATCTCCTTTCCTTTTTCTGATCCTGACTCTTCCACCTTTTCCTTAAGTTGCTAAGCAAATCTTTGCAGCTGTTAAGCGAACCACAGAGTAATTAAGCAAAATGGTCATAACTGTGGAAAACGATCATCAGTCACTTTTTTCAGTAACTTTGAATGGTCACTAAACGGATGGTTGTAAGTTAAGGGTTATCTGTAAGAGCCAGGCTTTCTCTCCTTTTCCTGCCCGAAATAAAAGGAGAAAATAATAATAATACCAGAGATGGAAGAAGCCAAGGATTTTGCCCATAGAGCAGGAGACTGACTGTATCTACAGAGCGGGGGGGGGGGCAGTATTGCAATCCAGTGGCTTTGGATGGTGCTTGGCTAAGCCTGGATTACAAGTTTTAGGGTAGGGAGGGCGAACCTAGGACACGCGTGTCAAAGGTGACACACCACAATGTTTTGGGTGACACACCAGCGTTCACCAACACCCAACAACTATTCCCGAAAGCACACCCCATCGCTTTTGGAGACGGCAGAGGCAGGGCAAGAGTGGGGTGTGCTTTTGTATGGCTTACGGACTCTTTGACAGTTAGGTGAGAGGGCCACGCTTTCGCAATGCCTCCAGAGGCTCCCAAAATTGTGCAAAAAAAAAATGGGGCATGCTTTTGCACGAATGTTTGGAGGCCATTTGAGAGTCAGGCGTGCTCTCGCACAGCCTCTGGAAGTTACATGTGAGGGCTGGGCTCTCACATGACCTCCACAGCCTCTGAAAGTCATGAAAGATCGGGGTGGGCTTTCACGTGTTTTTCGGAGGCTGCAGAGGCCGTGGAAGAGCATTCTCCAAAGCCGCTTCAAGAAGGAAGATTTTGACATGCTTCAAATAGACCTCAGGTGCCTGTCAATGAAAAGAGGACACTGCCTGAAGGTAAGCAGCATGCAACGGATCCTAGGGATCATACACAATTGGACTGGTTTATTTTTTTTTTAAAAAAAATAAATGAATATGTAAAGAATTCTTTTCCTTTTGTTGGAGCAGTGAAGTCAAGTTTCTGGATTTTTGACATGCCCGGTCCAAAAGGTTCACTGTCTGGGCCCTGAAACTGTGGCTGCTCCTGCCCCGCAGGGCCAGTTTTCCACTAACACTAAGCCGGCTGAAGTGAGCTTTCTAGGAAGCAAATTGAATAAATAGTTGCCTGACTGCCTCACTAGCGTCAATTCAGCCTTTTCCTCTTGAACTACGATGACTCCAGAAGATGCTGAGCCAATCTCAAAGGTGCTGCTTCACCCCCACCCTTTCAAAAGACAACTGGACTTTCTTAGTGTTTTCTCTGAAGACATTTCACTTCTCATCCAAGAAGCTTCGTCAGTTCTGATAGGATGGTGGACCAAAACGTCTTCAGAGAAAACACCAAGAATGTCCAGTTGCCTTTTTGAAAGGGGAAAAAAAAAAGCACCTTTGAGACAACCATGGCCTGGATGACTGAGAACCTCCATAGACATGCTGAGCTTCTGGGGATCACTTGAGGCCGGACCGTGTCACCCTCATGTCATGTCTGAATGTCTTTCATTGTATTTCACTTGTGGTCATATAGATGAAAGTTCTCAAAGGACTGTAAACTTTGTGGCAAGGATCCTGGGGCGTGGCAAGAAGATGATTGAGCACGGCAGAGGGGAAAGGGGTCGAGGGATGTTGTGTGGAAGACTTTGAACCTCACAACTGTGTGATTCCCATTGACTTGATTGTGTTCTCTCCTATTTGTTGGAATGTGTATAGCAAGAGCTTCTGATCTTTTTTTTACCAAATCGGAAATGCAGAGAAGATAGGTAAGAATCGAATGTTAGATTTTTTTTAGGAGATACGTTCTAGATTACACTACTAAATTTTTAAAAAGAAGCTCGGGGTCACCACATATGGATTTTTGGTGTGGGAGGAATGTGAGCCAAATTTCAGTGCTGATGCTCAAAATAAATTCCTGAGCTCAACTTAATTACACACACACTTCTTTTGCATTAGGCTCCAACTGGGGGAGCTCCAGTTAATGCTTTAAAAAAAGAACAAATGTTCTTACACTCTTGTCCTAGATATCATGAGGCCTAGCAACTTGTACGTGAAAATAATATCTTTTTCTTTGTTGGACCTCTAGTTCTAAATAATAAATAAAGCTGTTGCTAGTTATTGGACCTCTGCATTTGTGTTGCCTCTTGCGTAGAAAAAAAGAGAGAAGTTCCTAGTTATTTATTATTTCATTTACGTATTATTTTATTTATATTCAGTCTCTATTGTTTTTATTAAACAACTCAAGGCAGCGAAAATATCTAATACTTCTTCCAGCTCCTATTTTCCTGAAAACCTCAACCCTGTGAGGTGAGTTGGGCTGCGAGAGAATGAATGGCCACCCAGCCAGTTTTCATGTCTAAGTCAGGACTAGAACTTATTCTTTCTGAGTTTCTAGCCTGGCACTATAACTGCTAGCTAGATCGAACTGGCTGCCTTATGGTCAGGTAGAAAGTTCTTTATCTTTCTGATCAAGAAAGCTCTGTTTTGGGAATCCAAGGAAGCTGCCAGAATAGATGTGAGCGTTTGACCAGCACTTAAATTGCTGGCAGTTTAAAAGCTCTAACATGGTGGGCTGGCTCTGTTCTCTCTGCCGCTGGCTGTAGATTTGATTATCCCCTTTAATGGCCTCTTAATCCAGATGTGTTATAATCCTAACAGAAGGAACGTTTGGCCAGAGAACAGAAGGAACTCAGAAGGGTCAGGGTGATTTTATTCTAGGGGAAATTAATTGGAAGCAAGCAAATCCTGTGCTTCTTAGACACACCCACACCCACACAGACAGCTTCTCTGTATTTGCACACTGGTAATGGCTGCTCTTTCTTTCTACCCTTTGGCTCCTTCATCTTCCCAGGAATCTGTTGGATATGGACACTTTCTCCAAGTCTGATCCTGGTAAGTAGGTTGAGCTGGGAACAACAGTGGCATTGGCACCAAATGATGGATATAGAAGGGGGGGGGCCCACCCACCCACCCACCCAAGAATCAAAGGCTGGCATCCTTTGACAGCAATCTTGAATTCGTTTCATCGCCCAGCTACCATTAACAGACAAGAACGTCTCCCTTGATAAGCGTTCAACCACGTTAATTCCCGTCAGACCTTTGAGATAGGCCAGAAAATGGACTCCCCACAAGTTTGATGGGGACGATAGTTTACTGATGTAAGCCACCATAACAGAATCATGAAAGCCTGACTGTGTTTTCCCTTCCCTCCCTATTACAGGCAGTCCTCGACTTACAACCACAATTGAGCCCAAAATTTCTCTGGCTAAGCGAGACAGTTGCTCCCATTTTACCACCTTTCTTGCCACAGTTGTTAAATGAATCACTGCAGTTGTTAAGTTAGTTACACAGTTCTGGCTTCCCTATTGACTTTGTTTGTCAAAAGGTCGCAAAAGGTGATCACATGACCCCGGACACTGCAAATGTCATAAGTCACTTTTTTCCAGTGCTGTTGTAACTTCAAACGGTCACTAAATGAATGGCTGTAAGTCAAGGATTAGCTACATACCCCCGGGTGGTTAGGTGGAGCTAGTGTGAATTTCTTCTTAACGTTCTCTTTGTCTCTTGTAACCATCTCTGCAAAGTTTCCCCAAGATCCTTTCTATAGCTCCCTACAGTTCCAAGACATCCTTCCTAACTGGATGCCCTTGAGATATATTGGGATTACAATTTCCATCATTTGGAGTAATTGGAATTGTAATTCAGTGCATTCGGAAGAGTCCTGGTTGAGGAAAAGTGCTCTTAGGGGTGTTCTGTCAAGGTTTGATATTAACCAAGTTACCCTACACCAGGGTAGGCAACCTTGGCTCTTTTATGACTCGTGGACTTCAATTCCCAGAATTCCTGAGCCAGCCATGCTGGCTCAGGAATTCTGGGACTTGAAGTCCACAAGTCATAAAAGAGCCAAGGTTGCCTACCCCTGCCCTACACAATTGGGAGAATATTGGGAGCATCTCAGTCCCATCACAGGCAGTTGAAGGTGACACATTCACTGAATCGTGGCCGTTTACTTGGTGAGCCATTGGGGAGTTGTCTACCCTACAGAACTGATCATCATGTCTTCTCCAGTCCCGCACAACACGTGTTGTGCCCAGGGAGGAAGAAAATTGCAAGCTAAATCAAATTTATAATCACGCGGTTAGAAAGAAAGCAAAGCGGCTGGCAGGTCTGTGGCGGGAAATAAATCATAAGGAATATTGAGAGGGCAGATTGTGTGTCTCAGAGGGAATGAATGGCTGAATGAATGAATGGGAATTATAGTGTTGCTGTGACTCAATGTCAGGGCACATGCAAATTCCATGTTCCAAATTCATAATTACTGGTGGAAATCCAGGAGAGCTGCTGCCAATCAGTTTGGGATAGGCAACATTTTGGGGGCGGATCTTGAAATATGTGGTGGACGTGCTCACAATAGCTATCTAGAAAAAGAATAGAATAGAATAGAATAGAATAGAACAAGAAATAAAACAGAATAGAATAGAATAAGAAATAAAACAGAACAGAACAGAATAGAATAGAATAAGAAACAATAGAATAGAATAGAATAGAATAGAATAGAATAGAATAGAATAGAATGGAATGGAATGGAATGGAACGGAACGGAACGGAACGGAACGGAACGGAACATAATAGAATAGAATAGAATAGAATAGAATAGAACAGAACAGAATAGAATAGAATAAGAAATAGAACAGAATAGAATAGAATAGGAATAGAATGGAATGCAATGCAATACAATGCAACACAATAAAACAGAATAGGAATAGGAATAGAACACAATGCAATACAATACAATACTTTATTTGGCCAAGTGTGATTAGACACACAAGGAATTTATCTCCGGTATAGAAGCTCTCAGTGTACATGCAAAGCATCAGAATACTAATCATCATCATCATCATAGTAAAACCAATAAGAGGGGGTAGTAAGGAAGATAATAAGAATGCTAATAACAGTACTACAGCCATGCTACATGGATAAATATACACAGATATTAGACAGTACTGCATATTTGCAAAAGCATGCCAGCTTCCTATTTAAGGTTCCCAGACTTTTAAAAAGTCAGTTGGGCAGATGTTCTTCTGGACATCTCACAGTTCAAGGTGACTCTGAGCATTTTGACCTTACAGCCTCACCTATAGTGCACACGGCTATTGAGTGTGACAATTTTTTTATTGGGATTCCCCATTTTATTCATGGACTTTTGAGGGGTCCAAGCATCGCTGTCCATCTAACTAACCTTGACTTTTAGCACTTTGTAGAGTCTGTCACCACCCCCAGGAAATTTTAGCACCATGAGTTTGATTATGAGGTTTTACAGAAGCTCATTGGCAAAGCTTTACGTTACTATAAGCTAAATTCAGCTCCAAGGACTCCTCACCTTTACCCAGGCAACTAAGCTCTCTGTCAGCAATCCTGTCTTTTGCCCATCATTTTTCTTTTCATTAAAAATATATGTTCAGGAAGCAAGAAATAAAGAGCTGCACAATGGCAGGTGATTGCTAGCAGGGGAAACAGAGCTAGGAAAAGGGCCAGGTAGGTGCTTGACAAAGGCAATCACTTTTAGAAAATGAAGGTAATTCACATGATCTGAATGGTGGAGTTAGTAAAAGCTGCTTTCCTCTAAATGGCAAAGCAACTGACAGCGCCATCATTGTTATGATCACAGGACAACCACGGTGCCCAGAGCCTCTGAGGGATGATTTTGGAATGAATCCCTGAAGGTGGAAAGTTTGAAGAAACTCATGAGGGCATTGCTGGCCTGCCTTAAGCCTGGGCAGACAGGCGGAAATTGTATTCAGAATGAAGGCAGCATTCTTGGTTCACATTTTCATGCTTGACGGAATATGAGACTCCATTGCCATACTTTGACTTATCCATCTTACAGAACATAGAATCATAGACTTGGAAGGGAACTTTGAGATCATCTAGTCCAGTGGTGGCGAACCTATGGCACAGGTGCCAGAGATGGCACTCAGAGCCCTCTCTATGGGCACGCACGCCGTTGCCCCAGCCCCGCCTCCACCTGCGGCCCCCTCCTCACCAGCAGCCCCCTGGAAGAGAGTCGTCCTTGGGTGTGGCCTGCACAGAGCAACGCAGCCAAGGACGTGGCAGCCGGGCAGCGGGGGAAAGACTCCGCCCTTGCACCCCATTGTGTGCAGATGGTGCTGTGGGGTGTGGGCAGAGGATGTAGCCGCCATGGCGCTGCTGGGCTGCCTGGGTGATCTGCGGCGGGCCATGGAGGCGGTGGGTGGCCCTGTGGACGGACAGGATGGGATGGGGGGAAGAGCAGGGGTCGGAGGGCGGGGGCGGGTTTGGAGCACTCGGTTTCTAAATGGTTCGCCATCACTGATCTAGTCCAACCCCCTGCTTGAACAGGAGACTCAGTACCAGGGGTGTGTGAAACTGCTGGCCTGCGGGCTGGATGTGTCACATGGAAGCCGCACCCACCCCAGCTCCAGCAAGGGGGAAAAAGTCACACTATGTCGTGACGCGGTGAGTTTGATACCCCTACTCTGTACCATTTCAGACAAATGGCTGTCCAGTCTCTTCTTGAAAGCCTCCAGTGATGGAGCACTCACGACTTGTGAAGGCAAGCCATTCCACTGGTTGATTGTCCTCACTGACAAGAAGTTTCTCCTAAGTTCTAAGTTGCTTCTCTCTTAGTTGTTGTTAATTGCGAAGTCGTGTCCGACCCGTCGCGACCCCATGGACAATGTTCCTCCAGGTCTTCCTGTCCTCTACCATCTTCTGGAGTCCATTTAAATTCACACCTACTGCTTCAGTGACTCCATCCAGCCATCTCATTCTCTGTCGTCCCCTTCTTCTATTGCCCTCAATCTTTCCCAGCATTAGGCTCTTCTCCAGTGATCCTTCCTTCTCATTAGGTGGCCAAAGTACTTGAGTTTCAACTTCAGGATCTGGCCTTCTAAAGAGCAGTCGGGGTTGATCTCTTCTAGGACTGACCCGTTTGAACGCCTTGCAGTCCAAGGGACTCGCAGGAGTCTTCTCCAGCACCATAGTTCAAAGGCTCTCTTAGTTACCATCCATTATTTCTTGTCTTGCCTTCTGATGCCCCCCCCCCACCCATCTGTGTAGGAGCCCCTCAAAAATCTTGGAGTCAAATGATAGAGCGAGTTATTATTTTTATTTATTTACCAACAGCACGGTGTGGTGTGAATAGACGTTACGTTCAAAAAGGGTGAGCTTTGTCTCGGGACGATGCAATTATTCTCACATCTTCCTCGTTCTCTTCAAACCCTTGGAATCCTTTGTACGTCAGTCGTCCTTCTTCTGAATGGATCAGCGCTGCCTTCAGAAAGGGGCATTCCAGTCAGTGGGACCATCCCATTCCCATCTCCATGTCCTCACTTTCCGGCTCGATATTTCAGTAAGACAAGAACAAATGGCAATTGTATGAGAGTAAGGAGGGTACCTTGAATCCGGAGAGGGGGGGAAGAGAAAATAAGGAGGCAGGAATTGTCAGTCTTCTCAGATACACCAGACAGGAAAAAATGACCAGGATAGCTAATTCTACTTTATTTTACCGCTACCTTAACAGAACAAGTACAAATGTCTCACCACCTCTTTTACAGCCTGAGAAACTAGGTCAGTGTTTCTCAACCTTGACAATTTTAAGGCATGTGGACTTCAACTCCCAGAATTCCACAGCCAGCATTGCTGGCTGTGGAATTCTGGGAGTTGAAGTTCACATGCCTTAAAATTGTCAAGGTTGAGAAACACTGAACTAGGTGGTATCCCTTTTGCGCTTCTTTTTGTCCTTTATGCAGCTGCAGGCTATGCCTTCCCTTATCTTAGCATCTCTTCACCCAGTCTCTCAAGGTCTTTCTCCTAAACTCTTTACAGGAACTCCCACGAATGCAGAACTATCC